ATATGACCAGTATGAGCATCAATGTTATTCAGTTTACCATGATGAGTAATGGTATTACTAGTACCAGTGTTATCATGATGGTGCGTATCATTCATAGCGTTAAACTAATAGTACTCGTAGTAAAATGTAGTATTGCCACTACAGATATGATTGTTAGACGTGGTGTTATTAGTCGTAGTCGTAGAAATAGTATTAATACTACGGTCAATATCATTAGCAGTCATAATCTGATTTAAATTATCAATGGTAACACTGGTAGTGCATTGTTGATATCACGATTGATCGCATTATTTCAATAGTCGTAATATTAATATGATAATGTGCATGAGTACGAATAGTACGACTCCGAGTGGGAGTAGCATTAGCGTTACTATGAATACTAGCATATGTAATGGTATCGTTCGTGCGGTGGTGCTAACAGTGTTATGGCTATGATCGGTAATGGTAGAACTCGCGCACCTAATAACAGTCTGACCAGTAGTAATAGCACAGCATGTTTATAACCATTGCTACAAATAGTATCATTCGTAGTGCCATCCGTATTACTATGATTTCTCCTCCTCCTCGTCCTCCGCATTCATCCTTCCACGCTTACACCATATGGATACTACACTCCTGTCATTCTCGAATAAGTCCTGGGAGTAGCCGCCACCCCCTCCGCGTATTGGTTGCGTGCCCACAATGTGTTTCACGGCCGAGTTGCTCGTACGTGCTTTCTCCATTCGATCCCTGCGTCCTTCTCTTTGAAACAAGATTTGCGCGAACTGGCTGTCCAGATGTCTTCGTACAATTGGTGTTTAGAATGTTTCACAACAGGTACTCTCGCAGCAGAGTGGGATGGCATTCCCGGCCCAGCGGGGGTTCTGGATCACACAGGTCTCGCAGGTCTCGCAGGTATCGCAAGCACCACAGTTCCCACAGGTTCCGAAGGACACACAAGTGTCTCAGGTCGCCCCACAAGTCACACCAGTCTGACAGGGTCAACAAATCCCATAAGTCCCACAAGTGTCGCGATTCTCGCATGCCCCACAGGTCCAACAGGTCCGACAGGTCCCGCAGGTCCCGCAGGTCCTAGAGGTGTCGCATGTCTCACGGGTCCCACAAAATCCCCCAGGTCCCAAAGGTTCAGCAGATCCCGCCGGCGCCACGGGTCCCGACAGGTCTCGCAGGTCCAACATGTCCCTCAGGTTCCACGGGTCCCACAGGTGTCGCAGGTCTCACAGGTTCCACAGGCCACAGAGGTCCCCCAGGTCGACCAGGCCTCATAAAGTTGCTTCTTCTTTTTTCCGACTGCGCATAACACGCTGGTTTCTAATGTAGAGTTCCAAGTCGGCTATGACACGCGCCCGCGGATCCAGAAAAATCAACGCAACGAAAAGGGAATGGAAAGAGTGACACAAGTCGCGCGAGCGCAACTCGCTTGCCTCCTCCTCCTCTTCCTGTTCCTCCTCCTCCTCCTCCTCGTCCTCCTTCTTTTCCTCCTCATCATCAGCTCATGTTTCGTACGACTAGCATTCATATTATTAATACTATGGCTACTACTAGCATTCATCTGCGTAGCATTATTGACATGATAATTATGAGCGTCAACGATATTCAGTTTATCATGGAGAATAATGTTATTCATAGTACCAGTGTTGTCATAAGAATTAGTATCATTGAGATCGTTAATATGAATAGTAAGAGTACTAAAAAATTAAGATTGACACTACGAATATGATTATTAAACGTGGTGGCATTATTAGTACTCGTAATGATAGTAATAATAATACGACTGTTAACATAATTAACAATCAAACTATGATTGTCGTTAGTGCGTTGGTGCTATCAGTGTTATGGCTATGATTGGTAATGATAGAACTTGCGCAACTAATAACAGTCTGATCATTAGTAATAACACGTCATGCTTATAGCAAGTGCTACAACTATTATCATGAATACTGCAACCTGTATTACTATGATTTCTCCTCCTCCTCCTCCCACTCTTCCTCCTCCGACTCCGACCCCGCCCCCGACTCCGACTCCGACTCCAACTCCTCCGGCTCCTCCCCCCATCCGCTTGTCTTTGGTACTCCTCCTCCTCCTCTCCCTCCCCCCCTTGCCCCTACCCCTCGAACCAGGAGGCATGCAGGTGGAGGTACCTGCGGAGGCGTTCCGCCGAGGCCAGCTGTCCCAGTGGTTCGCTGCGCGCGGGCGCGCCGTGCCCCAGCAGCAGAACGCAACGGCAAGCTCCGCTTCAGCCACGCAGCCGCACCAGCCAGCAGGAGGAAGCGAGGGGCACGGGGAAGGTTTGGGGGGAATCCCTGAGGGATTCCGGCAGGCCATGGAAGCTCCAAAAGCGCCGTTGAAGTTTCGTGTGGTTCCTGGAGGCCAGCAGGAGCAGCAGAACCGATCCACAAGCGAGCCCCAGTCGACCCATCTTGGATCAGGCCAACAACACACGAAGGGTGATCACGCCAGCCCTCTGGACGTCGATGGTTTGGCATGCTAACTCTGTCGAACCAACCACCTGTTCCGAGTCGTTTAATCACCCCCATCCCCTCCACGGGAAGTCTGGACCGAGGGAATTCGCAGGGGCTGAAGCGTCCAAGGTGGCCTCGGATAGCTCCAAAATTGGCCCAGCGTGCCAGGTCGCACCCAAGTTGGCGGAGAATTGTCCCAGGTGTGCTCAAGAAGGTATTCAAAAGAAGCCTCCGAATGGCTTTGAAGCAGCCCGCGAGCGTCCCAGTGATAAAACCGAGAGTATCAGGCAAGCAGCTCCAAACATTCAGGATATCTGCCAGTCTGAATTCCAAATGTGTTCTGTGGTGTCCAAATGGCACCGACATTGCCCCGCAAGGCCCTTAAAGGGCCCGCCGAGGACTCCGAGAGCGCTCCTAAAGGCGCCCAAGCACACGCCCCGATAATCCCACGATTGCCCCGAAAGAACATGTCACGACACTCAAAAAGGAAGGGGGGCGGACACAACAGCGGCAGCGCATCTCAGTGAGGACAACGAACTTCCCTCCAAGTTCTCACGCTGGCCACGTGGGTAGCGGCCTGCATGCCCCCACGCGATTCCTCACCAGGGCTGGACATGCTCCAAGGTAGTGGCAAGAGGACCCCAAGATGGTCCCAGAGGGGCCCCGCGTGGCCCCGTTTGCGGTGACTGGCGTTCCCAATATCTGTTTCGCCGGTATCGTTGCTGCAGGGTCTGGCGAAACGATGCGAAAGATTCTACACATGTGTATATATATATACACTAGAATCACGCGCGCTTCGCGCGCTTAGGTTCTAGTCAAGGCTGCGCCACGTCTCGCTGCTCTCGCTTTCGCTCATGCGATCATCGACGACGACGACGACGACGCCAGGGGCGGCGACGACGAGCGACGACGAAGGCGACGACTGCGATGACGACGACGACGACGACGACGACGACGACGACGATCACGACGACGACGACGACGACGACGACGACCGCCACGACCACGACGACGACGACGCCGACGACGACGACGACGTCCACACGGTGACTCGGTCTGGAGCTGTCCTCCTCCTCCTCCTCCTCGCCCTCCTCTTCTTCCCTCCTCTGTCCCTCCTCTCCGCCTCCACCTCCTCCACCTCCGCCTCTCCATCCTCCTCCTCCTTTTCCTGCCCCCGCGTGGGCCGAGTCAGGACAGGATGCGGCCGCGGTCCCCGCCCGGGGAAACGACGCACCGACACCGACGACGCCGACGCCGACGACGGCTTCGGCGGCCACACATAGAAGTCTGCTCCGAATGCGTCCCTAGGCCCCTCTCGAGGTCTGACCGGTGCCGTTTTCCCCAGAACCGTTTCCGGGGATCCTGGGGCCCAGAGACGGCCCTGGGAGGCTGAAAGCAATCAAAAACTTCCTCGAACCCCGATCCTCGATGGATTGGTCCGCGACAGTCTTCCGACGCCGTGTCTTTGTTCGCTACACGTCGGCTCCTGGAAAGCCCTACCCCTTCCACGGGACCGGCTTGTCATTCTGATCCAGAGATCCGATATCGTGAGTTTTTCAATGCGGGGTCCCTGGACTGGCCCCGAGGTCCCGACGACTTCCATAGGCCCCGTGTTTCGTCTTAAACGTTTGACGGTCCCGGGGACCGTTGAGGGCCTCAGGAAGCCGAGAATTGCCGGGAAGCTTCGGGATCGGCCAGTGTGCATGGGCGTCGGGAGATGGCTCTTGGGAGCCTTTTGGGGCTTCCTGGCGGCCCATTGGGGGCCGCTTGGGGGCTTTTTCGGGAGCTCTTGGAGGTTTCTTGGGGCCTCCGGGGTGGGAAGGAGAACTGGAAATGTGGGGTTGGGTACTCCTCGGTGTTCTGTCGGGGAGCTGTCCGGGGGCCCTCTCGGAGCGTCTTGGGGGCCTCCTGGATAGTCGAGGGCTCCTCTGGAGCTGTCTTGGAGGCCTCTTGGAACTCTCTTTAGCCGTTTTGGGGCGATGTTGTGGGCTCCTGGGGCCGTCTTCGACGCGGTCGAAGCCGAAGATGTGAATATCGTAAAAAAATGCACGTTTTCCAAAAAGGGCATGAGGCCATTTTTGCTTCTGGAGGCGCTCTTGAGAGTCCTTTTGGGGGTCTCTTCGGCCGTCGTGGGGGCTCCCGGAGGCCGTCTTGAAGCCATCTTCGGCGTCATTGGAGCGACAATTCGGGGATTCTGGGCCCTCTTGGACGTTTGGAGACCTCCAGGGACCCTCGGGTGGCGTTTCGGGGCTGTCTGGGGCTGTCTCGGGGGGGACCTAGAGGCCCCGGTCCCCCCATGCCCCGTCGGGGTCGCCGCCCTGGGCGCCCCAGCCTCGTGAACGGGGATATACATCATTACATGCTTGTATGTATGTATATATGTAAACATATATACCTATATACAGCTGTATATGTGTGAATGTGTATGTTTGTATTTGTATGTGTGCATGTGTGTATGTGTGTATGTGTGTATGTGTGTATGTGTGTATGTGTATGTGTATGTGTGTACGTGTGTATGTGTGTATGTGTGTATGTGTGTATGTGTTTATGTGTGTATGTGTGTGTATGTGTATATGTGAGTATGTGTGTATGTGTGTACGTGTGTATGTGTGTATGTGTGTATGTGTGTATGTGTATGTGTGTATATGTGTGTATGTGTATGTGTATATGTGTATATGTGTATGTGTATGTGTGTATGGTTGAGTGCGTATGTGCGTATGTGTATGTGTGTATGCGTGCATGCGTGTATGTGTGTATGTGTATGTGTGTATGTGTATGTGTGTATGTGTGTATGTGTATGTGTGTATGTGTGCATGTGTGTATGTGTAAATGTGTGCATGTGTGTATGTGTGTCTGTGTGTCTGCGCGTATGCGTGTGTGCGTGTATGTGTGTATGTGTGTATGTGTGTACGTGTGTATGTGTATGTGTGTATGTGTGTATGTGTGTGTTTGTATATATATGTATATATATATATATATATTTATGTTTGTGTGGATGTGTGTATGTGTATATGTGTATGTGTGTACGTGTGTCTGTGTGTATGTGTGTATGTGTGCATGTGTGTATGTCTGAATGTGTGTATGTGTGTATGTATGTATGTGTGTATCGGTGTATGTGTGTATGTGTATGTGTATGTGTATGTCTGCATGTGTGTATGTGTGTATGTCTGCATGTGTGTATGTATGTGTGTATGTGCGTGTGTGTGTATGCGTATGTGTGTATGTGGGTATGTGTGTCTGTGTGTCTGTGTGCCTGTGTGTCTGTGGTTGTGTGTTGCGTGTGTGCGTGTGTGTGTTGATGCATGTGTGCGTGTGTGCGTATGCGTGTGTGCGTGTGTGCGGGTGTGCATGCGTGCGTGAGTGCGTGTGTGCGTGTATGTGTGCGTGTGTTCGTGTGCGTGTGTGCGTGTGTCTGTGTGCGTGTGTGCGTGTGTGCGTGTGTGCGTGTGCGCGTGTGTGCGTGTGTGCGTGTGCGTGTGCGTGTGCGCGTGTGCGCATGTCTGCGTGTGTGCGTGTGTGCGTGTGTGCGTGACGTGTGCGTGTGCGTGCGTCTGCGTGCGTGTGCGTGTGCGTGCGCATGCGTGCGCGTGCGCGTGCGCGTGCGCGTGCGTGTGCGCGTGTGCGTGCGTTGCGTGTGCGTGTGGTGCGTCTGCGTGTGCGTGTGCGTGCGTGTGCGTGTGCGTGTGGCGTGTGCGTGTGCGTGTGCGTATGCGCGTGCGTGTGCGTGTGCGTGTGTGTGCGTGCGCGTGCGCGTTGCGTGTGCGTGTGCGTGTGCGTCTACGTCTGCGTCTGCGTCTGCGTCTGCGTGTGTGTGTGTGCGTGTGCGTGTGCGTGTGCGTGTGCTGCGTGTGCGTGTGCGTGTGCGTGTGCGTGTGGGTGCGTGTGCGTGTGCGTGTGCGTCTGCGTGTGCGTGTGCGTGTGTGCGTCTGCGTCTGCGTCTGCGTGTGCATGTGCGCGTGCAGGTGCGCGTGCGCGTGCGCGTGTGTATGCATGGCGTGTCCGTGTGCGTGTGCGTGTGCGTGTGCGTGTGCGTGTGCGTGTGCGTGAGCGTGTGCGTGTGCGTGTGCGTGTGCGTGTGTGTGTGTGCGTGTGTCGCTGTGTGTGTCTGCGTGTGTCTGTGTGTCTGTGTGTGTCTGTGTGTGTGTCTGTGTGTGTGTCTGTTTGTGTCTGTGTGTGTGTCTGTATGTGTCTGCTCTGTGTGTGTCTCTGTGTGTGTGTGTCTGCGTGTGCCTGTGTGTGTCTGTGTGTATGTCTGTCTGTTTGTCTGTGCGTGTGTCTGTGTGTGTGTCTGCGTGTGTGTGTCTGTGTGTGTGTCTGAGTGTGTGTCTTTGTGTTTGTCTGTGCGTGTGTCTATGTGTGTCTGTGTGTGTCTGTGTATGTCTGAGTGTGTGTCTGTGTGTGTCTGTGTGTGTGCCTGTGTGTCTGTGTGTGTCTGTGTGTGTCTGTGTGTGTCTGAGTGTGTGTGTCTGTGTGTATGAGTCTCTGTGTGTGACTGTGTGTGTCTGTGCGTCTGTGTGTGTCTGTGTGTATCTATGCGTGTCTGTGTGTTTGTGTGTGTCCGTGTGCGTCTGTTTGTGTCTGTGTGTCTGTGTGTGTCTGTGTGTGTCTGTGTGTCTGTGTGTGTCTGTGTGTGTGTCTCTGTGTGTCTCTATGTGTCTCTGTGTGTCTCTGTGTGTGTTGTGTGTTGTGTGTGTTTCACCTCGTGGCATGCAACCAAGACGGTCCAACAGCATGGCCGCCCCGAATACGCCTGCTACTTGAGTGAGCAGCGAGCAAGAGGTGAGGCGTGCGAAACACGCACGCTCTCCGAACGACCTGCTCAAAGCGTGCTGACTTGCGCAGCACTGAAGTCCGCCACTGTACCCTTGAGGCACGAACTGGGATGTCCTCAAGCTCTTGGCCTAATCCGTTAAGCCGCTTGGTCCTCAATCCTGAAGATTATTCCATGGGCCTGGACCCGAAATCCTCGAATCTGCCAGGGCGCGCCGGGTGGCCCCCGGGGCCCGGGGCGTCGTCTCGCATGCCTGCTTCGGGCCCCAGAGGCCCCGGGACGGGCCAGGAGGGCCCCGAGCGGCCTCCAACATCTGGTCCGAGAGGGCCTCGAATCGCCGCAGAATCGGTCCGAGACGCCCAAAGTGACTTCCAGTCGGCCGGAAAAGCGCCCAAGACGTCCCAAGAGGCCGCCAAGACCCTTCCCAAGAGGGCCCCGAGAAGCAAACCACATTGATGTTCGATCGGTGTTTGAAGGAGTTTGGCTTTCTCGCCGTCTCGGCTTCCCGACGCTCCAAGGCGGCTTAAGAGGCCCCCAAGATCGCCACAAGACGGTCCAAGAGGCCGCCAAGAGGGCCCCACAACGGCATCACAGGGCCCCAAGACGACCCAAGGGGCCTCTAAGACCGCTCAAGAGGCCCCCAAGACGGCTGCAAGAAGGGGCTCAGACGGGGAACCCGAATGGACATTTCGAGCTCTCAGCCCCGAAAGGCCCTCAGGATGCCCTAAGAGGCAGAGGCCACAAAGAAGCCCCTGAGAGGCCCCAGAGAGGCCCCCAGGAGGGCCCAAGAAACCCCAAGAGGCTCCCAAAAG